AAGTTACTAGGGCAAAACAATGTTCAAATCTCCCAGACAAATTTCAGCCTCCGCAAATGAGTGCTGTCTTCACTGTTCTGCACGGGAAAAGTAGATGAATGCATAAGTAATAATGAAAAGGAATGAGCAGTTAAGATTTGAATTTATGTGTTAGATCGATGTGGTTGTGCCTGTACGAAAAGAACATGGAAAAGGAGATGAATACATGAGACGAGAGTATAATTGCAAGCACTCTTTGTCAGAGTCTTTATTATGACTTTTGTGTTGGGATTCTATTCCGTTTGTTTAGAGTAGTGATGGATTTTCAAGTACGAAGAAGTGGTCTCATTGAAGAAACAAGGAAAGGAAAAGTAGTGGTTCTTTAATTTACAGTTGGGTGGGTGCTTCTTGTTGAAATTATGAATTAGTTAGCTTTATGCAGCATCATGCAAAGTCAGTACCAGAATTCCACTATCGGAAGAAAAAGGTTGACACCAAGATTTTATCTATCTTGGCCTTTCGACACCAAACGCCTTTCCTTTTAATTTTCTTCTTTCTTCTTTTTTGCTTTTCTTTTCTGTCTTTTTTCAGATGTCCTTTCGGCTTTTTCGCTCCCACGTTTTCTTTAGTTTGTTTGTTTTCAATGCAAAAAAGTTTAGTGACTTGGGTTACAAAATCAGGATGTGTTCAGATTTAAATAACTCTTATAAAATTATTTATAGATCATTCACTGATAAAGCTTTCACATCAATAATAAAATTTAATTTTACAAAATTATAAATTATGAGCTAAATCTTTATTAATTAAACTAATCTTAATTGCTGGTTCTATATTTCTTTCTTGGAGAAATTACAATAAATGATTCAAAATTTATAATATTTACAAACAAATATACTAATTAATAATTATCAATGGTGGATTTAACATCCAAAATTAGAGGGCAAAAGCAAAATATTAGGACTTGGACTGAGTGAAGTCAACATTTTAAAATATTAAATTAAGTGGGGTTTTAAAAAAGTAAAACTTACATTCCTTACATGTTAACTTTTGCAATAATGACTTAATGAGGGCATTGCTAATTATTTCTCCATTTATACTACATGTCATCCTTGCATAACCATGCTAATCTTCTTTATCATTCCAATTTTATCTGAGATCTCCGAAGGAACAGAGTGTTCGTTGTTAACCATTTACAAGCCCTAGAGAACCAAATAGAACAATGGGGAGAATACGTGTTTTTTTCCAATCTTAATTATAAGGCAAAGTCTTAAAACCCTATTTAGTCCCTAATATATGATAAAGATTTAAGATGTACTAGTGGTTAATTACTTTTTAGTATTTTTCCTCCTTAATTACACTAAATTGTTAGCAAATTTATAATTTCTAGACACATTTCATTGTAATCATTAATTAATTTTAATGAAGAGCAAAATTTAATAAAATCATTCCTGAACTGTGAAGTATTTAATTCTGCTTTATAATCAAGATCGGAGGGGATTTATATACTACATATATATGATATATAAGAACATTGCACTCATGTCTATACTACTTATTTTATGAAAACGTTATATAAGATAATAAAAATGCAACTCTCAGAATTTAGGTGTAAGAACATCACAATCGTGTTTAAAGTGTATTCATTTCTATGGTTTAGTAGCAATGTAGCATCGTCATGTCAGAGTTTAGTGGTTGATTGTCTTAATCATAATATTAATGGGAGATTGTTAATTATTTGGTTAGAATTATTAGCACTTTGGTCTCTACTTCACGCAAAAGTTGTTAATGTAAGTACATCATACCAGCCAAATTCAAAAAATTATATGATCAAATTAGCAACTATAATGCTAATTGAGTTCTTGGTTTTTGTTAAGGTATTGAAAATCAAATCGATTATTGAACTGGTCAAGACAATGGATTACAGTTTAGTAGTTCAATTGAAGATTAGTTTGAAGTTAAACCTGTCTTAATTAAAATAATATAATTTAACTTATATATACACAAATATTCATATTCATATAAAAAATGAATATTTAAATAAAAATCATTAATTCTTATATAAATGGAACAATTATCCATCAAATCTTATACATTTTGCCATAATCACAATAATAAGTTAAATAGTTTAGCTCGAATAACCTAACAAAAATTTAATATAAAATTATAATATTTATTTAAAAAATCACGATAATAAAAATAACAACAAATCAATAGTAGCAAAAACATTAATAATGATAACATAAATATGAATTTGGAGTCTGGAGGACTAAAAGATAAAAAAATCAAAATATAATTGAAAATAAAAAATATTAAAATAAATGACTTGAACTAATACACTAAATAAAATATATAGTATTAAAATCTGATCAGTTATTGAAATATACTTATCAACATTTATTTGATAATATCAAAATCAAAATTCAAAAATCACATCATCTAAAAAAGTGGAGAAACCGTGCATCAGTGGTTAAACATGCATTAATGGAGATATTTGGTCAGTTTTAATTCCTTTCTTCTCCTCTTTGTCCTTTTCTTTTGCGTCCCTCCCAAAAACTAAACCAACTCCAGTAGTGATATGAAGGCAATAGGCACCAACAAAGAAACAAACACCAAAACTCGACACCACGATGAGATGAACGGTCAACAAGACAAGATAGAGTTCAAACCAAGAGAGTGATGGCCGATGAGATGAGTTTGAACTAGGAGAGCGATGATGGCAAAGAGGACAATGACAACAGCCGATGGTTGAGGATTCACCGACCAAGGCCAAAGAGAGCAACGATCAACATGAGCTAGGGCTAAAGATGATTGGTGAGGATTTGAGATTGATCGCGAGTGTTTGATTTTCAAAATTGATTTCAATTTTACATTTTTCATTTTTTTTAATTTTTTTTAAAACCCCAAGCTAAGTAACCCGGTCAGCTTAACTAATCCGTCGAGTTATCCAAGTTACATTGGGTTGACCCTAGGTCACATCCTCATCGATTAGATGGAAAATCAGACTGGTGAAGAAGTCGGTTCATGGGTTGACCCAATCGATCCAGTCTGATTTTTCATACAATAGTTTTTATTGTAACTTTAAAAATTTTTTTGCCAATTATAATAGAGGTAATGGGAAGAGGAATAGGCCTTGACTTTTGCTAGTCCTAAGGTTTCAGGAAGATTGAATTTTACTATGATTGCATGAAAGCTATCAACCTCATCATTAGAAGTTACACTATGGAGCATCCTTTCCATGATATTATTTATAATGTTTGTAATGTAATTAATAGGGTTTGATTAGTTTATATTAACTTTGCTTAGAGGGATGTAGTTTCTAATGCTTATTCTTTAACAAGGAAAGCTCACGCAATTGAGAGCCCCTTTTGTGTCTTCAATCATTCTCCGCCTTGGTTATCTAGAGGAGGAGAATTTTGAATGATTCGGCTCTCTTTTTAGGTTTCTGTATTGTATTTTGGTTACTATTCAGTTTATGAATTCATTTCAGTATTATTAAAAAAAAAAATGTGATCAAGAGCTCAAAGTGTAAATAGTTCTTTTACAATATCTCCAAAAATGATTTCCTCCCTAGTCACTATTAAGATCTCCATAAATTTTTAATTTTTTTAGAATAATATTAAAAATGTACTAATTTATCTTTTACAATATGGTAGTTAATAACGTTTCTACAAGTTAACATAATAGATATAATTTCTCTAAAATTACGATTTATAAATTTTTGTAAAGTTTTCCTTTAAAAGAGGTTTTATATTTTATAAAAGATAATAAAATGAGAAAAATATTTTAAAAATTTAAATAAATTTATGAATCCCAATTTTAGAAGACTTAAATTCTGATATTATTATATGAAGAAAATTTATTTAAGTGTATTTTTCAACTTTTCATCCAGTGGCATCCTATGTATGCTTCTTATTCTTTTCTTACTATACTAGTATTTTCCCCCTAATATTTTATAATAAGATTTTTTATTTCGCATATATATACATGAAAATATAATAAAAAAGAGATAAAAGATAAAAATAAAAAGATTATAATTTACTCCTTTCAATCCAAAACATATGCCGTTTTTCTCCAACTAACCTCTATCCAAATTTTAAGAAATTTATTATTTTTAAAATTTATTATTAAATTTTAAGAAATTTATTATTTTTAAAATTTATTATTTTTATTCTACTGTTTATTAACTTAATTTATCGTGTAGCTCGAGAATTTATCATTTCCTTCTCAGTTTATTGGTGAATTTTATATTATTTTGACTTTCTCACATGAGTTCTTTCACTAAAAAATTATTGAGATAAATACTTTCTTTCTAATTGACTTCATTATTGGTAATTTGGGTTAATGATAAAATTATAAAAAGACAAAACTATAACTATAATTAAATTTAATTGATTTGCAGGTTGTAGTTAAAAATGGTTTATAATATTAACAGGAGAGAATATTATTTTATTTTATTTACAATCACATTCTTGTCTTATTCAAACGACCTCCGTGACGGGGCTGGGGATTGAAAATTGGAATATAAGGGCTTGAGCAGAATGTGATCAGATTCAAAAGAAACTTCATTTATGGGGAAACGCAAACATTACAAGGCTCAAAAATTCCAAATCAAACCAAATACGGCATATTGTTTTTGGGCATGCATCTGCCAAATTGCAAGCTCACAGTACCCACGGGCTATTATTTTAAGCATACTTGCATTAATTAGGCCTTGGCCTTGATGCACAGTTTCCTCTTAAGTCATCCAAAAACTGCGTTTTATGATGTCTTTGGATTGCCATGGATGGTTTTACTGTTTTGACAGCTTTAAGCAATACTACTGGGTTATTTTATTTCCAGCCAATAAGATTAAGATTACATAAAGAATTATAAAAGGGTTAAACTCTGTGATGTCATTTAGTTTTTTTCATTGTAGTGGATTTATTTGATTCACGAGCTTCACGTCAGAGTTTTATCTAGTCAGTTCATTTCATCTCTCCATTTCTCCATCTCTCTTTGACTTTCATGATCAAATTACAGTAACATTAAACAATGGGTAAGTGATAATACACCATTGTCTCCATAAAAAGGGTCGCTTTTATGCTTCACTTCTTGGAAGACTGAATCTCAGTACTCGACTCTCCATTCACTCTCGTCTTCACTGTGATGGAATGGGATCTTCCAACTTCATGATTCAGCTTCACAATCACAGTTAATTTCTGGAAAAATGGGTAGACGGAGAACTTTAGACGAAGTAAAAGGCCAAGCCTTTGAGCCTCCTTCTTCACCACCACCATCGTACTATCTTTCTCAGCCGCGTCTCCCATCTTCTTCACCGCCCAATTTCGGATCTCATGATGGTTTCTTCAATTTAAACGACAAGGTGAGTCCGAGTATGCTGCTTGTCATCATAATTCTGGCAATTGTTTTCTTCATTTCTGGGTTGATTCACCTGCTCGTTAGATTCCTGTGGAGACCTCAACCCAGAGACCCAGAGGATTCGGACAATGTGTCTGCTCTTCAAGGTCAATTGCTGCAACTGTTTCACCTTCATGATGCTGGCGTTGACCAGTCCTTCATTGATAACACCCTCCCTGTGTTCCATTACAAAGCCATCATAGGATTGAAGGACCCATTTGATTGTGCTGTGTGCTTGTGTGAATTTGAAGCTGATGATAAGCTCAGATTGTTACCCAAATGTAGCCACGCCTTTCACATGGAGTGCATAGATACTTGGCTCTTGTCTCACTCAACTTGTCCTCTCTGCAGAGCTAGCTTGATTTCTGATTTCTCCCCCACCAATACATGTTCCTCTCCTTTTGTCTTCGTTCTAGAATCTGGGAGTGAGAGTTCCAGAGAGATTGTTCCAGAAAGAGAGAGTACAGTTGGTAGGACCAGTTCTGTGGTTGAAGACAACGAACTTGGGTTGACCCATATAGATTTGTCACACAAATCTGTTGATTTAAGTTCAGATGCTAATCCTTGCCAGACTAAAGCTGGGGAATCACATGAGAAAGTGGTCAATGTGAAGCTGGGAAAGTTCAGGAATGTGGACTGTGTTGGTGAAGGAAGCAGTACAGACATGGGAGAAGCTAGAAGGTGTGTTTCTATGGGGTCATTTGCTTATGTCATGGACGAGAATTCTTCACTTCAGGTACCAGTAAGAGCGACTTTGAAGAAGCAGTCAAGTAAGAAACCTGCTTTACCATTAACACCAGGACGCAGGATCGCCATGTCAGAGTGTGACTGTGAGTCCACGAGAGATTTCAGGTTCACAGGTTTTGACGCAGCCAAAGGTATTGAGAGTTCTGCTGAGACTGGAAGTATCGAGAGAAGCAGAAAAGAGAGCTTTTCGGTTTCAAAGATTTGGCTTCGAGGAAAGAGAGAGAAGCCACATGATGCTGTGGCTGATTCGTCAAGGAGGGCTGTTTCGTTTCGATTCTCAGCACAAAGTAACGAGGTTGCGAGGGATGATTCGAAGGAAAGGAATGGGAAATCTGAGATTGAGATTGCGATGGAAAATGATGAGGAAAATCAGAGCTGTTACAGTGTGGATTCTCAGGGCAGAGCACCCTCATTTGCCAGAAGAACTCTGCTGTGGCTTACTGGAAAACAGAACAAGGTTGTTCATTCATCTTCTGATTCAAACTTCTAGTTTCTGTCATTCATTGTTTTGGTAAATCTATGATTCTTTAATCTATATGTGTTGGTTCAAGTAGAATTGTCGAATATGCAATATATGTTTCCACACAAATCTATGATTCTGGAATCTGAATAGTGAATACCCCATATCTTCTGCATTTGGTTTTCATATCAGGTTGTTTATGCTCATTAGGAAGAATATCAAAGACAATTCTTTTGTTGTCATCTATGAGAATCTGGCTGTTTTGGTGGTCAAACAATTGATGTTACAACTTACAACCTTAAAAAGTATTTCTGATTTCTGAAGTTCCGTCTGATTATGTTCCCCTGTAGGTCTGTTCATGCAATTAGACATACCCTTTGACATAGAGAAAACTGTTCAGATGTGTACAAGCTACAAGTAAATATTTAGGCGTTGAAATCTATACTGGATAAACTATGCGTTTCGGAGATACGAAGTACATCCAAGAAGCCAAATCCAACCAATAAATAAATAAATAAAAATAAATGAATAAATGAATAATTTCAACCGTAGTGTAAAATATTGAGTTCATTCATTGAAAAATCTTTTATCACCTTCTCTTTCTCTCAGCTCCTAAAAGGAATGAGAAAAAAACCAACCAGATGACACAAAACTTGTCTGGTCAGAAGGATAAACCTGTACAAATTCGAACCAAAAAACTTGATTATGAACAAATTTTGCAAAAATATGAAGGCATTTATTAGAAGCAGTAATTTATGGTTGTGATGGAGCATAGCAGAAGAGTGTAGTGTGTTAATGAGAAGAGAGTTGGTATTAAATAACATGTCAGTGTCACCTGGTGCCTGAATAATAAAGATACAGAGAAGAGAATTCGAATTCGAATTCAAATTACACTGAATGCTTAGATCAATTGTCTAAAAGGTGACTTGACTTAATCAGAGGTCTTGAATAGTAAGTCTTAAATATGCCACAGTAATTAAATTCTTGGTGGGTGGGAGGTATGCCTTTAGAAGAGACCCACAAGCTGCTAATAAGATTAATCTTGGTCAAAAACTGGGAATACTGGAATAAAAGAAAAAAACAAATTCAAATTTCCGTGAAATTATGACAGGCCACCTGCATCATGAACTGGGGTAGTAATGAAAAACAGTGGTGGATGGGAAAAGGATTCGCAGAAAGAGGGAAACAAGGTGCCTGTGGGAACAGGGCATGGCATTTAATAGAAGCCATTTTCAAAGGCTTAGTAGTAATAAAGGTCACTCACCTAACCTCTCCCCTCCTCTGCCCTACTCTTTAAATAACACCGAAGTTCATGAATGAATGATTTGGAAGATTTGATCTGAGGAGGAGAGGCCAAGAGCCAAAGGCCAGAAGAGCCAAACCCCACATCAATTGAATTGACATGCCAACCGTTTGCCATGTGACAGAGAACAGAGACGAGTCAAGGTTGTGAGGTTTAGTAGAAAATGTTGGATTTTGAGTAGAATGGAGGTGATTTTCTTGAAGGATGACAAGAAAGAGTGAAAATAAGAAAAATGGTGTGGTTTAGTAAGTTTTATCAGACACACATGGAGGGGATTGGAAAAAGCAGTCAACAACACCAATGAACGCGGAAAAAAGGGTGAGGAAGACTGACTTTAAGTTATGAGTTGAATGAGGATGATGCTCTGAGACTCCAGTTGACCTGCTTGCCACTTAATTAGACTACTTTTATCTGCTCTTCCTACAACGTTATCAAGGAATTCATGTGTTTGGAGACTCCATTGAAGGCGTAGAGCCGCATGTTCGCTGCACATTATGATTCTAAAATCAGAAATAAAGAGGGAAAAGAAAAGAAAAGGAAAGGAAATAAACAAGTGAAATAAGAGAGGGAGCCCATGATGGTATACAGAGGAGAGGGGAAAAACTAAGAACGATAAAAAAGCCCAAGTCAGCAGAAAAAGTAATCTACTTTAAAATTAGGGGAAAATATAATTATTACTATTCTTCACTACTCCAAGTCCTTTAAGTTTCATATGTCCAATGCATTAATCCTTATATTTTTTAAATATGACCATAAGAATGTAATGATGGCTAATATGTACATAAACTCTGTTACTCATTGTGTTGACTTGTTAAAATTATAATAAGTTAGTATTAAAAATAAATATAATGCAAAAAAAAAAAAAAACAAGACATTAAATCAAAATCCTTAAACACACCATGGATAAAACTTTAGAAGGAAAAAGATATGATAGTTAGAATTGTTGGAATATTAATGTGTGATTAGTGTTAATTACATTGGTAAGTTAGTGACCCTAAATAAAAAGTACTACAAAGTGTTAGAGGTTAAGGGAATTATATCCTACCTTTAAAGAAAGGTTAATTAAGTCTTTACATCATTGTTTCACCTCAAATTTGGGGTTAGCTCACCCTCAAGATAGAGTTATGGTGTTTCTTTGTAAATTACCCAAGAAGGGTTTGTCATCTTCATGATCATTTTTTGAGTTGATTTTTATTATCATTTTTGTTATTAATATTCTCTGTTTTAATATTTCTGAAAAGGACATACATGTTAGCTGGCATTTTGTTCATATTATATTCAACTTGTCATAATTTTATTAGCTCAACAGTAGAATTAACGTTAGCAGAGTTAATAGCATCAACAATGATAAGAGTAACATTATAGATAAATGAAACTTAAGAGACTTGGAATAATGAAAAAAAAAAAAACTACTATCAAAATATGTTAAAAGAATACGGATTAATAGTTATATAGATTGGAATTAATAAAGCTCCTTGATGACTCATTTTACATACAAAATAAAAAACATAAGTAACAATCTCTCTGCACGTTGCACGATAGCATGATTGTGCCTTCTAGGAACACTATGTAAAATTTAATTTACCCATATAAACAAAACTACGAAATTGCATGGTATTTTTCTTAATCTCTTTTATATATATAAAAAAAAAGCCAAAGTCACATTGATCATTTGTTTTTTGGCTAGAAATTTTTTTTTTATCACTAGTGTAATCCAGTTTGAGACACTAAATGTGGGCATTTCTTAATCATTCATAACTACAATAACATATCATAATGTTTTTAAAATGAACTAATAATCATACAAAAAGGAAAAAAAAAAGTGGAAAGCTGGAGGCATTAAAATTGGTTCAACTTGATGAGGTGGCTCACTTAACACACCAAAAAATTATGGGTTTATGTTTCAAACATTGTAATTGTAATATATTTTAAAATAAAACAATTTAAACCAAACTCATTTAGAATGTGTTTAGAATTACATTGGAGACGGAGTAGAATCAAAATTACTTTATCTGAAGAAAAAAAGAATCAAAATTACATTTTGCCAAAAGCAACCCAAATGTTGCTCCTGTCAAAACCATGCTCAAGCATTTACTAACATGATTCCAAACATACTACTTAATCCATGAATGAAATGAATTGAACCACGAAATGTTTTGTGGTTGTATACAACTATTTATACTTTTTAAATTTGAATATATTTATGGAAAAATATATCTAAAAGTCCTTAAAGTATTCCTTCATTTTGAATTAGGTCTTTGCAATTTATTTTTTTAAATGAATCCTTATAGTTTGATCATTTAAATTTTTTAACCCCTAAAAATTAATCTTTGAATTTTTTTAAAAAACAAAATTTAAAACTTTTATATTTTTGTTAAATGAGTATACAAATATAATTAATTACTTAATTTTATTAACCCAATGTTTATATAATTATGTTCTCTTTTAAATATTTTTTATGCCTATAGAATTTTCATAAAAATAATAAAAATATAATAATGTATTAAATCAAATTTTGTTTTTTCAATTTTAGCTAAATGTACTAAATTAAAAATTTTTTATAAACTCCAAAATTATTTATTTATTAATTTTAGAAAAAATGGATAAAAATATCTAAGAAGTGGTCAATTAGAAATATCTAGTAGATTAAAGTGAGAAAAAGTGTACAAATATCTATGGAGTTATATTTTTTGTGCTTTTGTGACGAAACCATTAAAAGCTAATAACATTGACCGTTACATTATGAATGTGAAATTTAACAGTTGGATTATAGATGCACCAAAAAAATAATTTTATGGATACTCATGTATTTTTTCTCACTTTAGACTAATAGATACTTTTGGCCAACGTCTTTTGGACTATTTTTCCTCCTTTGCCATTAATTTTAACCTTCAATGATTAACATATTTAATAGATTAAACTATGAGAATTTGATTAAATTAAAATAAACCATAAATATTTAATTTAAAATTGAGAAAAACTAAAAGAATATGTAGATTAATTTTCCTTTATTTGTTTTAAAATAATTATGGTGAGTTAGGTGAGCTGGACAACATAACCCACCTGCTCACTTTTAATGGGTTGAGTTGATAAAATCCAAGCCCACTTTTCAAAAAAATCCAGGCCTACCAGAAAGCAAATTCGCTTGGTCCGGCTCACTTTTTTAACAACCACCACTTATTTGGCTGCTTTGTATTTATATTAAATATTTTTTTCTAATTTTAATACAAAAAATAAATAAGATCTATTTCTTGTCTACTAAGTCTGAAAAGCAATTTATCACGCTCAACGCAATGACGCATCAAAAAGGCCAAGGTGGCCCCAAGAAAAAAAAAAAAACAAGCACACACCATTAGAGGACGGGTCTCGCCGATCGCAGGAGAGTGGAGCAAATACTTTCAATAAACATAAATTGGGCCTAGGATTGGGTTGGCTCCTGTGGCCTTATAACTTGGGCCCATCCACCTTTTATGAGAGACCAAAGTAAGTTAAATTAAAGCAAGTGTTGGCACCAATGGGGTTGGTTGTAGCAGAAGGGACTAATTTCTTAAAACATATTAAATTTAAATTTAAATTTATATTGAGAAATGTGTCCATATTTAATATTTGACCAAGCTTTAAATATGATTATCTCCAATGGAAGAATATTTGTGTACAATTAAAGGGAATAAAAAACAAGTAGTGGCATAAAAGGGCATTTAATTAGTTCAATTAGTTGAGGGAATTGAATTATTTATTTTAGTATTTTTGCTTTGAGACATGCAGTCACATTAAATTAAAAACACAAAAGATAACCATTGGTAATTTCGATCTCAAACACATTAAGAGTTTGAATTTATTTGGGCGGGTGGTTATTATATTGACTAAAACTAGCGAGTTGGAAAATGTCTATCATTTGATCTTAATATCGAAATGGGTTAGTCTTTGTTGTTGACAGAAAATGCTTTAGGCATCTTACAAAAACAAAACAAAACTTAATTTAATTATATTTTTTAATAAAAAATAAAGTAGCTTATTTGTTAGTTACAACCAAAGTACCCCTGAGGCAGAAGCAGAAGCTCCAATGCAGTTTTGTTAATTTAATGTTCCTTTGATCTGAGTCTTGAGTCACAAGAACTCCAACGTAGGATGTTAGTTACATCCAAAGTGCCAACAGAGAGAACTTAATACTAAGATACACAATTCTCAGTGTTTTTTTACGTGAACCATGCACGATACACAACTCAACTCAGGACTTTTGATTCATCAGCGAATATATGTGCATATTATCTGGCAACAGAAATTGTTTGTCGTTTCTTATTACTCATAATCGAACATGTTCCATCGAAGTTTATTCAACTCTCTTGGATTCTTTTTCCATGTTTTATCATGTTTCTATCGAAATTTTCGTTGGGGCTGCATATACTTCTCAATTTGATTTTGATGGCCCTATATGAAATATTCTCTTCTCTGGTTTTATACCCTTTAATTTTCGTTCTGACAACAAAACTTCCATTCCCCTCCCCTTTAATAAATATTCAAATATAAAATTCTGATCCCCCATTATAAACTTTGAATATTATTGTTTTGTATCACACAAGAGAATGAGATTAATTAAATTCGATAGTTCGAGCGGAAAGAGTTCTAATACGTGGGAGAGGATAGATAAAACTATATATAAATAATTCATTAAATTAAACTTTAAAGATACAGAAAACCACTCCACAAACCACATAATTCAAGGAAAATGTACTCTATTTTCCATGACACACACATGTTTATTCTCCATTATATTGTATTGATCTCTCCCAGAAGCGTCATACCCTGAAAATATATACACATCAAATTAAAAAAATAGTCAGTAAAGTAAAATAAGTAACTTAGAAGGTACGTAACAAAAGAAATTACAAAGATGGAGTAATGGATAAGGAAATAAAAATGAAAAAGAATTTGAATGAATTACTGGGTGAAGTCAATGCGGATTTTTCCTTCGACAGGGTCAGCGATGGCAGAGAAAGCTTGATGAGAGAGATCGATGGTTCCTTGGCATCTCGGGCAGAAATCGACAATCTTGACGGTGACGGTTCTGCTCCGGCAAGGGTGAGCCAGACCGCCGCTGGTACCACCGGTGTACCTCACTCTGTACTTTCTTCCACATGCTTTTCCATGGTCCCAGATAGAGTCGCTCGCCGCTGCCACCATTGTTCCCTCGTCATGGCTTTCAAAGCATGCAGATGCTGCAATTACACCAACCACACAGTAATAAACCTTCGTGTTATTATATCTATTGTTAAACCATTTTATTGAACTACTCAAGCATTGATTCAACTGGTTGGGTTGACTCAGTTTTCAATATTAAAGTTTGAAATCTAAGTGAGAAAGTTATCGAAGTAGAAGAGACCCCTCACTGAGACTATGGAGGTCTGAGAATGAGTAACACTTATTCATAATAAGAATTTGAATTTGATAACCTAAGTTCACAGAGTGTCTTGATTACAATCATTTAATTTTATTAGTACATGAAAATTATCAAAGACACATTTTTTTTCAAATATTCAAAAAAATCATCATGATGAAACACTCTTCACATTTAAAAAAAATTAAAATTTAATATTTTTTAAATATTATATGATAGAATTTTTTACAAACGTTCGATTAAATAGAATGATTATTATCGAGTTATATGAAATATTTATTGAGTGAGTGGATTTAAATTACTTACTAGATCCAAATCTTTCATAATAATGATAATAATTAAAGCTAATTAAAAAGTGAGAGTGAGAATATGAAGAGATACTCACGGCGTAATTTAGTGTAAAATGTGGCGGTGCCGGAAGAGGCAGATGCTACGTAGACAAGACTTGCGATGGCCAAAGATATGACAAGCACGACATTCAATTTGAGGGCCATTATGTTATACTTGATTTTTTCTTAGTGTACGTGGTGAATTTGGGAGAGGGATTAGTTCTCCTTTTATATAAAAATTTTACGACGCAAGTGGCATATTGTAACTATATTATTCACAACGTAGAAACAACAACGCTTATTATATTGGTTTTATATCTTAATTCTTATCGACATTGAAGTTTGTATGATGAGTCCAATGCCAAGAATCTATGAATTAAACTCCTCCCTTTCTAATTACAAGGACCTCTTTTTTTTTTTTTACAACTTTGAATCATTTTTTGAAAAACATAATTATTGGTCCTTTAGTTCTAACATGTTTTGGTATAGGTTCATGTAGCTTTTTGTTCGTTGTTTCAAGCCCATTTAGTTTATTCTGTCTATAACATTAGCCCTTCTACTTTTGAATATGCTAAAAAAGACTATGAGATAACAATAGAAGTATTAAATATGTTAATAGGTGACAAACGTTGTTAATCTGTGCAGAATGAAATTATAATTTAGTAGATTAACAGTGTTGTCCACCCAGTTTTATTTCATGTTTCAAATTTCAATATGTCAAAATATAATTCCACCTTAGAACAAGTATTAATAATGTTAGTCACAGGTCACAAATATGACTTAGCAGATTAACGGCATTGTCCACCTTATAGCACCTCATCATTCTTTTTAAAAATGGAGGGACTAATATAATGTTGTACATGTTAAAATTATAGGGACCAATAGTTGTGTTTTCCTTATTTTTTACATACAAGAGTTAAATTCGTTTTCTTAATTACTTATCATCATCATCATCATCATCATCATCATTTGTTTTGACAAAAAGGATGTTTTTAGCAAAATGATGGTTATTAACAAATTTATTGCTTTTAATTAAAATAAACTACTTCGTTTGTCTCAAATTATAAGATATTATTAGGGAAGATTTTATATCCTAAAATATAAGATACTTTAATAAAAAAAAAGGTTTCATCAATGATATTTTTCTAATATTACTCTTCTTATATATTCTATCACTTTAATATTCTTTAACAAATACAGTATCAAATAAAGGACATTTTTAAAATTTTGTATTTTTTAAAAAAAGGTAAAGTTATAAAGTATATTTAATAAATTTTATTGATATGTATAATTTTATTTAAAAATATTATAATTTAGGATGGAGGATATATATTTTTTTACTCTTTGGAAATTAAGTACTAGTTATTAAAATAGCTATATATAGATTTCCATGGGAAAAATTAGAATTTTTCAATCATTATATATCTCATAACATCATCAATTTGGATGGCTGGTTTGCGTCCCAAGCAGCCCTAGTTAAAAACGACACTATTAAAAAAAAAAAACTAATCCTTGATCTTTATAAAAACAAGTAACTTCTATATTCAAGATTCTGTTAAAAAAAACTTACATATTTAAGACATAAAGGAGTATCACTTTTTATAACCAGCAAGGCAACAACATTCTGTTTTATTTTTCTGTTGAGGTCCCGAAAAAATTTAGATGTAATTAGTACTCTCTCTCTCTCTCTCTCTCTGTGTGTGTGTGTGTGGTGTGTGTGTGTGTGTGTGTGTGTGTGTGTGTGGTGTGTGTGTGTGTGTGTGTGTGTGTGTGTGTGTGTGTGTGTGTGTGTGTGTGTGTGTGTGTGTGTGTGTGTGGTGTGTGTGTGTGTGTGGTGTGTGTGTGTGTGTGTGTGAGAGAGAGAGATTAATAATGTACTTGATAGACCATATACATATAAATAACTTCATCAAAAAGTAGAGGACGAAATGCCGTCCTCTACAATGTCCATGGGAATGATCTAGATTTGAGTCGGAAAAGAATCTCCATTTTTAATGAGATAAGTTAGATTCTTTATATTTTAGGGTAGAGATATAAATTTAGCTATGAACTATTTTTTAAAAATTATTAAGTAGTTAATATTATAAGGTAGTGTAAAATCTGAACAATTTAAAACGAAGCAACGGCCGCCTACCATTAGTTGTGCACAAACGAACATTTATTTGCACTATGGGGCCTATGTATACTCCATGACTCATTTACTGTTTTACCCTTTCCTCCCCTTTGATTGCCCTTCTTGGGGTTTCTGCAAAGAAAGAGCCTATACCTTAGAACTAAATGGAAAAAAATTGTTAAAGCCAAAGAAGAAGTGGAAGCAACAGTTGATAAACCAGAATCTTCTCTATTCCCTCTATTTCTAGTCATTGACTCCTCACAACACAACATCATTTCAATACCCTAATGGCTCACCAATTCTAGCTTTACCATCGACCTTTTTACCATAAACAACATCATTGCGTCACAACTCACTCTTGAAGCTACCTAAGCACCACGAGAAAGGCACAACCCTAAAGATGAAGAAGGTCCATTTAATAATCAGGCTCAACTGAAGCACTTTCCTTCCTACGAGATTTTGGAATTATCTCAATATGATAGAGAGGATGAGTGTAGGGGTAGGGAGAGAAAGGATAAGAAAAAGAAGAAGAAGAAACGTAAGCATAATGGGTACTTAGACAAGGGGGATTGAATTTCTCTACTAAGAGCATTGAGAGTATTTTGTCAAAGGATCTTTAGTCAACAATGAAGATCTATATTGATGGCAAGATTTTGATTACTAATGCAAGAGTTGTAATCTAACGGCCTTGCTAAATCTCTTGCTACATGAAGATAACATGTTATTGGAGGTTAAGGTTAAAAACGGCAAAGGTGAAGAAGGACTTCAAAATAAAGCTACAAGGGTGGTCAGAGGGGAGGAAAGGGAGGTTACAGGTGATAGATGAAGGCCACCTATAATGAATGTGGGGCCTAAGGTAAAAAAAATGAACGTTTGTTTAGATTTAACAGAGGCTATTGGATGCTTTGTTTTTAATAGTTTAGGATCTATTTCATATCACCTCATAATATAAGCTACCTAGTAGTCCTTAAAAAATAATTTGTAATTGAATTTGCACCTATACCCTATATTTTATGTCATTGTAAATAGAGTGATGAAAATATGTATGAGATCCTTGATCTCATATACTCTCTCTCTCTCTCTCTATATATATATATATATATATATATTCTCTACGCACAATATATTGGTCATCATTAGTTTCTATGTACATAGGAAGTGTCATACGTAGAATACCATATATAACAATGACATTGTCCACATTGCGTACCTAAATTGAGTGAAGGGTATAGCTTACATTTATATGTTGAAAATTATGCTTAGGGCCAATCATTATATTGTAAACATTATTATTTAATGAATTTCTCTTTTTGTTATCATATCAATTACATGTTCACTATGATAACTGTATTCTTAAACAAACTATCGTGATTATTCTAAATATCTTTGGTCGGTTATCTATGAGGGATTATAAATGAAATAAGACTAGTATGACTTTAATTAATTATAGATATTTAAATCAAAGTCATAGGCACTTGAAAGCGTACAAGGTGCTGAACCAATTCCTTATGAGAAAGCTGTATGGTACAATTCATAAGCTTATCTCACATGTAACCATATTACTAAATCCTTTGACTTGAGATCATCATGAACTCCTATATAATGACTACTGAACTTTGATCTAATCAAAAGTTACCTTTGATCGGGTGATCATAAAAGCTATGATTGAGTTTAATGATATTCATGTAGAGAAATGTAAGTAGTCAAGATGAAATTTATCCCTCACATTAATTGAAAGATATTACTGGACCTCACGATAAGTAAAGCTAAGAAAATATATGACCATACTACAATGAAAAGGGTTTTTCTATTGCTATAGCCAATCCACTCATAGATCAAGTAAGTAATGTTCAAGTAAAGGAAAATGACAATTTCATATTTCACATTTGACCAAAATGTTGCTTGGCAAAAGGAATGTGATACGGTTATATGATAGGTTACATTGAATCATTGATCTCTATATGAATTGAGTAGTCACAATATTTTGCTAGAGACTACTTGTGACTTATGGGCTGTAGCATTATTGGCCTACTGCCAACTTTATATGGGCCTATAGGGTTGTACATAAACATAGCCTAACTCGAACTATAATATTCAAGTTTTTTGAATCTAAAATGTATCTAAATTCAATGAATAAAATTCTTTATTTAGGGTGAATAAATTATATATATATATATATATATATGTATTTGAATATTTATCTGATAAATATTTATGTATATAAAATAAAAATTCAAAATATAATGTGTGTGTGTGTGTGTTTTTTGAAATATGTGTATATATATTCATGTATATATATATATATATCATATCATATCATCATGTTAGTTTTAAATTTAAATTTATATGATAAATTAAATTTAATAACCAGCATGGTATAAGAAGATATCATATCAGTTGTATAATTTAAATTTATAACATAAATTTAAATTAAATATGATATCATAGATTAAATTTATGAGATAAATTTAATTAAATTTTCGTTGGCTCAAATATAATTTTTGAAATAGTTATGGTTATTTTCAAAAATTCAAGAGGAAGACTAAAAACCTTAATCTATATATTATAGAAAAGGGGGCGTGTTTTAAATATGAGTTAGAAAAAGTCTTGACAACAAAACACAGTGAGAGCCATGAAAACACCCTAGAGAAAAGAGAAGTTCGATATTTAAGAAAATGGACAGACATTTGAGCGCTAACACACTATTCGAGTTGAAAGTTATTCGTGTGGATACCGGTAGAGGGAGCAAATTTACATTGTCAGCTCCTAAGGACTGAAACACTTGAAGAAAACATGTGAGAAATTTGAAGCCAAAAAAGTAATTCTTTTATCCACCTTTACTTAAATGAATTTGATAGGTTCGTGATCATGAGTGGAGATTTGTTTTAATTTTTATTATTCCACTACGCCTCCCCAATCCAATAGTAAATGCTTCCTACCTGTACAAGTACAACCAAACAATCCATACATGATACAAAGAACGATAATTAATTCATTAAATATGTTTTAAAACAAAAAATTTCTAACTTTATAATTATCACTATTAAAAATA